TGAAGATATAACTCTGATAAAGTGAAGGTTAGCAGAGATGTAGGGAAACTGGAACCTTTGCACATTGCTGGTAGAATGTAAAATGGCAGAGTAACTAGCAACTAGTATTCTTTAAAAAGATCAAGAAAGGCCAACAAGATAGCTCAGTGGTAAGAGTACTTGCCAAGTCTGAAAACCTGAGTTCATTCCTTGGAATCTACAAGGTGGAAAGAGAAACAACTCCTCCAAGTTGTCTTCTAAACACAATAAATAGACATATTTAATTTAAATTATTTTACTTGAGCTTCATGTTAAATGTATGCACTTACACACCACCAAAACAAACAACAAACAAATCTATGACAGAATTAGGGGGAATATCCACAAATATTTATTCTGGTTGGAATTCTGTCAATAAATGTTTTGGTTTTTTATTTGTTTTTTTATGAACTAAAAGAAGACAGAACTGGCATATTATCCAGCAATTCCACTACTGGATATACATCACCCCATAAAACAAAAACAAATTCCACTCACGTTCACCGCAACATTAATAGCAATAGGGAAAAGGTAGCGGCCACCCAAGTGTTCACTGACAGATGAATGATTAGACAAAATATGTTACACACATAGATACAACAGAATATTACTTGGGTTTAAAAGAAAATTATTCCAGACAGGCTGTACAGTTCAGTGGTGTGGCACTTGTCTAGCATATGTGAGGCCCTAGATTTCATTCCAAGCACTGAAAAAAAAAAAGCCTTTTAAAAACTAAAACACCTAATTTGAAAAGAATAAATCCATATAGCAGAATCAACTCAAGCTAGATCTTAGTAATAGTATCCACTGCTTCATACATACTGACCACTACCAATTTCTGATCTGTGCTTTCCCTAACACTAAGTACATGCCCTTCTTTCTATCTTTACCTCCACTACTGCAACAGTCTGCAACAAGTCTGATAGTTATCAAGCTCCCACATCACTACTAGAGTGATCATTATGGCAAATATATGGAGTGCTTATTTTGTGCTTAATTTTTTTAGGCTCAGAGGACATAGTCATAGAATCAAAAAGCCCCCAGGGAATTCAATGTGGTCTATGAGAGAGGAAAAAATGAAACCATTCCATTTCAGACAGTAAAAATACTACGAAATGAAAGCAAGCAGGGTAAGAGCTAAGCTACTGCAGACACAAGTCAGAGGACTCACTGAGATAAATGCCACTTAACAGGGCAATAGTTCTCAAAATGTTTCAAGAATGTCTGTTGCGAGAAAATGTTTTACTGTTTTAAAATAACCCTGGACTTTTGAATTATAACCTGTTTTTATGTTAAAAAAAAGATTAAAAAAAAGAATGTCTGTTGTACTGGAAAAATCATGTGATATACATCTAGAGGCTCCATCTATAACTAACCAACATTCCATAATACATAAAAAAGTGACTTTTGCCTTTAATCCCAGTACTCGGGAGGCAGAGGCAGGTGGATCTCTGTGAGTTCGAGGCCAGCCTGGGCTACCAAGTGAGTTCCAGGAAAGGCGCAAAGCTACACAGAGAAACCCTGTCTCGAAAAACCAAAAAAAAAAAAAAAAAAAAAAAAAGTGACTTTTATGTAGGGAAGTATAAAATGAAGTAAAAATGAGACCAAATTGAGAACAAAATGCATTTCTACACCCTTTGGCAGAATAGCATTATGTCTGCTAACACTGTGTGTAACCAATGCACTCACTGTTCTACTTTGCTAAGATTCTCAGAAAACCTCTTCTTTCAGATCTTGGCCTCATACGTTCCAAACACCAATTATACGTCTGTCACTCCCTTCAATTTGGTGGCTTTTCAGTCGGACTGGAATCAGGCATTGAATTGTGGCAGTAAATGACTTGAACCACTCACACTCCCTGGAGTTTCTGAACAAGCAGTTTCCAAAGAAAACCAAGCAGTCTGGCAGAGTTCTTACCACTCCTCAGATTGCCACCCACTAAATCTGTTATTGATCTACTGAGGTCCTTTCTACCTGTACAGCTCATTTAAATACCAATTCTAGAGCATCAACATGAATAGGGTTTCTCTAAAAAGTGGCATTTCTGTCAAACTCCTCTGGTCTGTAAACACCTGACATTTATTATTTGTGTTATTTCTTAAACACTATACATTTTGGATAAATGAATGAATTAATTAATCTTTAATCTCTCAGGCTTTTAAGAGCAAACACTTATTACTCCTATGTTTAATATATAGTCTAAAGAGGAGCTACAACTTGAGTGAGGAGGATAAATGAAGATGGTACAAAGTTTTACTTGGTGTCTGGGTACCAGAATGTGATGGTTTAAGAAGAAATCTTTACAGAATTGTAAAATAATACCAGCTGGCTATATTCAAATTCTAGTTTTTTCACTAATAACATGAATCTCAAAGATGTTATTTAGCTCTCCAGTTTCCATTTGCAAAATAGTGAAAATTATCACATACCTTAAAACCTGAAGTAAAAAAAATGAGTTAAAGGGGGAAAAGGTATGGTGACACATGCCTATAAATTCAGCACCCAAGAGGCTGACAGGGAGGATCCTGTGAGTTAAAGACTGGGCTAACAGTGAGTTCTAGACCAACGTGGTCTAAAGAATGGGACTATCCCAAACTCAATAAATAAAAATCAAAGTAATACATTTAATGAAGCAGCATGGTAACATAGTGCTCAATACACATCTACAGACATGTTTATCATTTCTCCAGAAATCAATCGCTCCATTGGTAAATTGATAATATCAGATCTCTTAACTCAGATTCACATTTAAGTGTTGTTACACATCACTCAAGATATCAAGATCACTGAGTCTACAAGTGGGGTAAGTTTCATAAGAGAGCCACAATGACAGCTGGCTATTATCTACTCTACCCAATAATTTGCTTTGGGAACATCTTACACACTGTGTAGCCAGTTAGTTTCTTTAATGGCTTAATGGGAAATTGTAACACAATAGTAAACAGCTATATTCAAATTCTATTTTTGTCACCTTCTTTAACGAAAAGCTGTACAAAAATCAAGAATTTCATCACACTCCAAACCTAGAAAAATTGAGTGAGTGCTAAGTGAGAGTTATTTTAGAAGCACTCCTTTCCTATCGGTTTTGTTTTTCTTTCCTTCTTTCCTTCCTTCCTTTCTCTCTCTCTCTCTCTCTCTCTCTCTTTTTCTTTCTTTTTTTTTTTTTTTTTTTTTTTTTTTTTTTAGACAGGGTTTCTGTGTAGCTTTGGAGCCTGTCCTGGAACTTGCTCTGTAGCCCAGGATGGCCTGGAACTCATAAAGATCCACCTACCTCTGCCTCCCAAGTGCTGTGATTAAAGGCGTGCGCCACCACCGCCTGGCTTCCTATCAGTTTTAATGAAATTAAGGACAACTATGAGACTGACAGAACACAAATTTGAAGGTTATCACAATCTAAAAAACTACAGTGAATGGAATTGTTGCAGTGTAAGTCAAAATTATCACTCCTCTGCTCAGACAGCCCCCATTCCGTGCAGAGTGCAGATACAGTCTTCAAAATAGTCTACAAGGCCCTGGCTGTTCTGTTTTCCTCTCTCCTTCGCTGACCTTATCTCCTATAATTCCTTCATTTGCTAAATGCTACAAACGCACTGTTCCTCTAACAGGACCAGCTCTGTTCCCTTCAAGGCCTTTAGGATTGCTGTTCCCTTGCTCAGAACATTGAAAGGAATACGTCCATGGGTAGACTTAAATATCATTAGTGTACCTGAAGTGGCTCCCCTGACCACTCTCTTCTGCAAACTGCAGTTTCTCTCAAGCCTCCTTTGCAGGTACAGATTACCCTGTAACATACAGTGTAACATGATTTTTTCTCTTATTGCTCATCAGAAAGTTTCATAAAGGGACTGGTGAAATGGTTTGGTGGGTAAAGGTGTTTGACACCAAGCCTGACCTGAGTTCGAGCCTCAGGACCCTCGGGTTGGCCTCTGACCTCTACAGGAGGGTATGCTACACATACATAAATAAATACGTGTAAAAATGTATTTAAAGAAAATATCATGAGGGCAGACTTATTAATACTTAAGCAGTGCAAGAGAGAACAGGCAGAGGCAACGATTAAATTTGTTTTAATGCATCACATTAGGCCATGTAATTCTTCTTCTAGGTAAAGGAACATAATATTTTCACCACTGGAAGAATAAATGTCTGTATCAAACACTTAACTGCTCACGTCCTACCTGTCCAGAACAGGATTGGGCTCTACAAAGTTTAAGCAAATTAAAACATAATCCCTGCCGTTCAGGAGGTATGTGTAGGGGATAATAGAGAAATACTATTTATAAAAAAAAAATAAAAATACGTAGGGAAGCCACAGGAAACCGACACGACAGCCTAAAGGAGTAGAGGCAAAGAGCGAAAACGCTAAAATGACAGAAAATGTCATTTTACACATGCCTTACACATGCCTCTCAACTCTGACGAGCATAATTTGTCCTTACGGTTCTGGGACGTGCTTGACATTCATATATGTTATTTAGTCACATCAGGTAGGCCGCAAAAAGTTTGTAACTATGGTGATGCCAATCATGATCCACTCAAGGTTTCACAAAGATCAATGACTTCTACAGCCTCCTATGTCAACTTCCGCTACCGAGAACCCCCTATGTGTGGGCCCGCGGGCTCAACAGCTACCCACCGGGATCAACACCCTCCCACGGGAGCTCACAGCCTAGGAGCCCAGCACCCCGAAAATCCCTTCCTGGGGCCCAGCAGGCACCGCCTCCGGAAAGCCGCCAAGTGGGCCCCGATCAGACGTGCCAGGAGCCGAGCCGTGGGACTGCAACGCAGCTCGGGAGGGCCCCCCTCGGGGCTCCAGCCAGCGCACCTGTCTCGCCCCGGACCCCCGCAGCCGCCCCGGGGGCGAGGCTCCGCCGATTCTTTGTTAAGCGAGGCCGCGGTCCCTCCGCCCTCGCCAGGCCCCAGTTACCTCCCGTGCCCCCGGGGCTAGCGGCCCCGCGTCCGGAGGAGCCCTTCCCACGAACCTGCTGCTGCGGCTCCAGACTCTGCTGCGACTACGGTCGGCGCGAAAGCACCCCGCGGCCCTGAGTACGCGCCGAGCGGGGCCGCGTCCAGCAGCGCTCCTCCTCCTCCGCCCCCTTCGCCGCCGCCTCACGGCCCGTTGCTGACGAGAGGGGGAGGGGGACGCGCATCTGACATGCGCGCCGGGGAGGGCGCGAGCCGAAGGGTGTGGCTTGGGGCTACGGCTCCCGAAAGGGGCCAATTAGGCCCGCCCCTCAGATGCCGGAACACGTCATAGGCGCGTCACACACTCTGGACAGGCACCTGGGTCTGGGTGAGGACTGGTTATGGCTCATGTTAAGAGAGTAGATCTGGGCCGAGCGGTGGTGGCGCACGCCTTTAATCCCAGCACTCGGGAGGCAGAGCCAGGTGGATCTCTGTGAGTTCGAGGCCAGCCTGGACT